ATTTGCTAGCTGGAAGGCCACTTCTGAAACAGAAATTAAGAGGTTATTTTTTAGGACATTTATCTATTTTAATAAATTGTTCTGGGAAAATTAAGTGTACCTTATAAAAATGATTATTTAGTGTGTTAAAACATCTTAAGACCATTGAGGTAAATTATATGCACTTTTTATGAGCAGAGAGACTGCGATGTAGTGGTAAGATACAGTTAAAATGATTAAAAAAAAAGATGCACTTCATCACCTTTTTAATTTAAATCAGTGTAATCAGGGTGCCTGGGTGGCTCAGTTGGTTGAGCGACTGCCTTCGGCTCAGGTCATGATCCTGGAGTCCTGGGATGGAGTCCCGCATCGGGCTCCCTGCTCAGCAGGGAGTCTGCTTCTCCCTCTGACCCTCTTCCCTCTCATGTGCTCTCTCTCATTCTCTCTCTCTCAAATAAATAAATAAAATCTTAAAAAAAAATAAATCAGTGTAATCAGTGTAATTTGTTATTATAGTTACCCTTTGCTTCAGAGAGGCAACCACTCTGAGTGTAATTTGGCATATTCTTTCCAGTCTTTTTTTTTTCCTATGTATTTTTGGCATAGCTCATATTGGGTTGTATAATTTTGTATCTTGTTCTTTTTATTTAATATAATTTTTCTGGCTTGATATTCCATTGGGTGGATATTCCTACCATACTTAATATAGTTTCATTTTACCCAATGAGACACAAATTAAGACTTTTGAGTTACAGGAAATGTTCAGATTCTTTTGTTCTACTGCAGTTATGTGTTTATTTATTTAAGGTGTTTTCTTGGATCTTGAACATCTTTAAACAAAAAGACTCTGGTTGTAGTAATATTTGACTTAGACTGTTTTTCTTCTATTGCTTATGTCTCATCAAACTTAATACAGTTTGGGACTTAAAAATATTTTTAAGTTATTACATGTTCTCCCATTCATATCAGGATTAGGGAAGGTGATATATATAAGAATTACTGAGTCTTCATTTATTTACCATATTATTCTTTTTTTCTTTTTCCTTTATGGTTTCTTAGGTCAGACATTTTGAGTAATTGATGTAATAATTTTTCCCTTTGGGTGTCAGGCATTAAAAATAGCCATTGCATAAGATAGTTTTCCCCTTTTTCTTTTTTCCTTTTTAATTTTTTTTAGAGAGTGTATGCAAGGGAGGGAGAGAGAGACAGAATCTTAAGCAAACTCCACACCCAGTGCGGAGCCCAGCGCGGAGCCCAGTGTGGGGCCCAATCTCACAACCTTGAGATAATGACCTGAGCCAAAATCAAGGGTCAGACGCTCAACCGACTGAGCCACCCAGGATCCCCAAGATTTTATTTTTATGTAATCTCTGCACCCACTGTGTGGCTTGAACTCACAGCCCTGAGCTCAGGAGTTTCATGCTCTTCCAACCAAGCCAGCCAGGTGCCCACTTTTTCTTATCCAGATGCAGGTAACAACGTGCAGAATGTGTGGAGTGGTTAAGGAAGGCTGAGCTATTAAGAGCTCTCAACTGCTAAGTTCAGAAGGCTTAATAGTTGAAGGCTGACATTAGTACTGACTTTGGTTCATGGTGCTGTGAAGATACGGGGTCATCGGGAAGAGTCTGAGCTGGAAGTCTAAGCATGGGGACTGAGTCAGGGTCATGAGGCTCGAGTGACTTCTGGTCTTCTGTGGCTACATACAAAGTCACCTGATCATTCTGCCTTTTTCCTGTATTCCCTAAATAAATACCACTAGTTTAATAATTGCAGATAACATTTATCAATTTCTTTCTAAACGTCGGGCTAAGTACTTTTGACATGAACCGTTAGCTGGTTATTGTGAACTTGGTGGTGACCATGTTAGAAAAATAGTATAGTACTTTGTGTGATGAGAGCTATTTTCAGTTTACTTTGTGGTTGGTTGCTAATGTATTAGGATATGGCCATTTTAGACTTCTCTGCTGTCTTATGCAAGGTGAATTGATTTTTCCAGTTACAGCAGTAGAGGCATTCTTTTTTTTTTAAAGGAAAGTTGTTTTGGCCTTTTTCTTTGTTGTAGAATTGCAGTATGTTAGAAGTACTTGAGGTGTTTTTAAATTTTTTTAATTAAAAAACAAATGAGAATAAGAGAGTTGGTATATCCTCAAAGGGATCATGATTCCTGGAATTGAAAACTGTCCCAAAGCTGGAGAGAGGCAGCCAGACCTGTGGGTGTGGGCTGCATCTGCACCGTGGCCCAGAGCCAGGATGGGGTTGGGAGTGCTGGAAGCACGCTTAATTTTGGCTGCAGTTTTCTTTTTCTTTTCTTTCTTTCTTTCTTTTTTTTTTTTTTTTTTTTTAAGATTTACTTATTTAAGAGACAGAGCCCGCGAGCGGGGGAGGGCAGAGGGAGAGGGAGACAAGCAGACTCCCCGCTAAGTGGCGAGGTGGATGCAGGGCTCCATTCCAGGACCCCGAGATCACGACCTGAGCTGAAATCAAGGTCAGATGCTTCACCGACTGAGCCGCCCAGGCGCCCCTTGGCTCCAGTTTTAAAGGCTGCATTTTAGTTTTTATTGATTGATTAGCTTCGGTTCCTAAATGTAATGTTGAAGGGTATGGCCATTTTTGTGTGTGTTTTGGTGGGGTGGGGTGTGTTTGTGAGGGAAAAGGAAGGACAGAGGGATCTTGCTTTTCCTTTTTCCTTGGTTCCCCTGAGTCCTTCCTGACCTCATGCAGTAATCAGTAGCTACCCGTCATGTCAGAATGTTAAGTGAAAAGCTTGTTTATTTAACAGTTGGGATTTGGGCCATAAAAATACCAAGAGAAATAAGTAACACAGATAACAAGTTTCCTTTGTGGTTTCAGGTAGTAAGTACGAGATAACTGCCTATTTTCCCCTCCAGTGGATTCTCCATCCCTCTTTTTCTCCAAACGTTATCGAATGTTCACATTGACCGGATGTCATTCTTTGCTGTGATCTAAAAACCCTAGATATTTACTCCTCAAAATGACTCCATACCTTTAATAGCAAACAGTGGAGCTTCAACAGCAGTCCCTCCCCGTTCTGACCCGGATTGTATCCATACTGTCGGATCTGTAGTGAGGCTGGTCTGAAGATGTTGTGGGGATGAACATGGTTTTAGGGGCTCATTTTATCAGTGCATTATTTTTTTTTTAAATTTTTTATTGTTATGTTAATCACCATATATTACATCATTAGTTTTTGGTGCAGTGTTCCATGATGCATTGTTTGTTCATAACACCCCGTGCTCCATGCAGAACGTGCCCTCCTCAATACCCATCACCAGGCTAACCCATCCCCCTACCCCCCTCCCCTCTAGAACCCTCAGTTTGTTTTTCAGAGTCCATCATCTCTCATGGTTCGTCTCCCCCTCTGACATACTCCCCTTTTCTTCCTCTCCTGTTATCTTCTTCTTTTTCTTTTTTCTTAAAATATGTTGCGTTATTTGTTTCAGAAGTACAGATCTGTGATTCAACAGTCTTGCACAATTCACAGCGCTCACCGTAGCACATACCCTCCCCAATGTCTATCACCCAGCCACCCCCTCCCTCCCACCACCCACCACTCCAGTAACACTCAGTTTGTTTCCTGAGATTAAGAATTCCTCATATCAGTGAGGTCATGTGATACATGTCTTTCTCTGATTGACTTATTTCACTCAGCATAACACCCTCCAGTTCCATCCACGTCGTTGCAAATGGCAAGATCTCATTCCTTTTGATGGCTGCATAATATTCCATTGTGTATATATACCACTTCTTCTTTATCCATTCATCTGTCGATGGACATCTTGGCTCTTTCCACAGTCTGGCTATTGTGGACATTGCTGCTATAAACATTGGAGTACACGTACCCCTTCGGGTCCCTACATTTGTATCTTTGTGGTAAATACCCAGTAGTGCAATTGCTGGATCGAACGGTAGCTCTATTTTCAACTGTTTGAGGAACCTCCATACTGTTTTCCAGAGGGGTCAGTGCATTATTTTTTATCAGAGGAGTTGTAGAGAACTTTGAAAACCACATGGAAGAAATTAATGAGCCCGAATCTATTACTCATAGATAAATCATTGGTGCATTTTTTCCAGTCTTTTCTGTATTCTGTAATTGAGGACTGGGTTGGGGGAGGGTAGGGCCTTCAGAGATAATTTCAGATCATGGTTAAAATTGTAATAAATCATCATTATCTGGAGTGGCTTGTCCTAGAGAGGTGGGACCTCTGCTGGCCTTGGTGTTTAGGCAGGGGAGGCGTAGGACCCGCCGGTATCTCCCAGAGGGGTTCAGGCTGTTGCTTGGTGGCTGGGTGGGGCAGAGGAAGAGGTGGGGTTGGACTCCTGGATCTCCCTCCTCTTGCGTGAAGTAGAAGAACCTCTGGGTTTGCTCAGGATAGGCATTAATTTAATCAGCTGCAACCAAATTATGTAGCCCTTGAAGTCAAAATGTGTCCTGGTCCCTGACACACCCCAATTACCATGAATCTGCAAAGCAGATAATCTCCCAGTCATTGAGAGTTCATATGTAATATACAGTTCTGTATCCTTTCTATATGAAAGGGCTTTTAATTACGATCTCAGTACAATGGTAATGAGTCCTTTTGAAATTGGGAGAATAGTTTGACTGGTATGGCTTTCCTAATCAGAAAACCTGTTAAATTTTGCTTGTAATGCTTGAGAGAAAGCAAGGTAGCAAGATTGGGCCCAAATACTCCAGTATTTACTAACTCCAGAAGTAGATTGACATTCTGTCAGTTATACAAAGGAACTTTAGAAGCTCTCTTTTGGGAAATTTGCCTTATGTGATTCTCCATATATATGCTGTTGCACTTTATATGATTCATTCATAGTGTGTATTGTCTAACAGAAGTGAAGATTAGAATTTTCTAGAATATACTGGATCTTTGGAAGAAGCTTGACTACTTGTTTCGTTATAGAAATGTGCAGCTAGAATACTGATTTATTCTTGTGACTTAATTTATAAATAAAAGTTATTACTTGTTAACTAGTATTTTTCTTTCCAGTTTCTCTTCAGCAACGGGTAGCAGAATTGGAAAAAATTAATGCAGAATTTTTACGTGCACAGCAGCAGCTTGAGCAAGAATTTAATCAAAAGAGAGCAAAATTTAAAGAGTTATATTTGGCTAAAGAGGGTAAGTTCCTAAGTCTCTCTCTAACCCCCCATACTAAGACTGCCTTAAAATGTTGAGTTTCTTGGTAGTACAATGTTAATTTTATCATTGAACACACCTTGATTTTATTTGTATTTACACTGTAAACTAGAAGCCTATTTAGAGGTTAGAGTTAAGAATGGAATTGATAGAACACATTGGAAAATGCAGGATTCGGGTTTTTCCTGGTCTTTGAGCTTCACAGTGATACGTAATGTAGGTAGGCTACAGCACCCTGGGACACAGGGCTCTCGGTGCTCTTTGTGCCTGAGAGAGAGCCCAGGCGAAGTGGACTGGGCTGTTCTAGAAAGAGCCTCGGCCATGTCACAGACTGTCGCACACACTGACACTTCATGGAGTTGGTCCCGCAGACAATCCCTTACTTATCAGCAGAGACCTAGGACCCCCTGTGAGGCAGATGCGGTACTGGGCGCTGGCTATGAAGGAGCCGGAGTCACTGGGACCTGTAACTCCTAGAACCTCAACTCGAGTGAGGAGAGAAGCATACGGGGTAGATATGGGGGCGTATCAAGAGGGCCTGGCCCTGCAGGGTAAGGACAGGGTTACATGTTGGGCATTGACCTCAGAAAATACGGCTGTGGCTTCTGAGCCCCCCCCCCCCCGCCACCAGTGGTTCCCAGAGTGTGGTTGCCTAACAGCAGCATCAACTGGGAAACCCGCTGGAAATGCACCGTTTGGGGTCCTGGCTCAGACTTGACTGGCTCAGGGTCCAGCAGTTGGTGTTTTAAGCCGCTCTTCAGGTGATTCAGATGCTGGATAAAATCTCCCCAGGAGCCAGTTAGAACACCGTGAGATCTGCATTTCCGACGAGCTGTAGGTGCTTGCAGTACAAGGACCACAATTTGGGAGCCGCTGCTAGAGACTGGTGATCACCCAACTTTTAAATATCACTTCATGGACGCACTCCATACAGTAATTACATACACCCCTTGTACCTTTATTTTAAAGTTGATGCTTAAAAATTTTTTATTTTAAATTTAAAAAGGTGCAAAAGATATAAATTCTATATTATTGTCAACACTAAGAATTTAAATTAAAACTTCATGCTCTTAAACATATCCAGCAGAATCAGTGATTTAATATCTATCACCATTCATTTTAAAACATACGTGAGTAAGCTCTTTAGCAGAAGTTAAACATTTTTTTCCCTCCTTGTGTTGGATTTTCAGTTCTACAGCTCCCTCAGAATTTTATTCTAAAAGGTTTTTTTTTTTTTTTTCTTTTTTTAGGAGCACAAGCTTGAGTGTGCGTCAGAATTTTACTTGCAGGGTTTGTTAGAGCAGAGATTGTGGGTCTTCTCCCCCAGAGTTTCTGACTTACCAGGTCTGTGGAGTCCTGGAGTTTACACTTCTAGTAAGTTAGAAGGTGGCACTGATGCTTTTGGTTCAGGGACCACACTTTCATATTTGATGTTTGAAAGCCTTTTTTAAAGAAAATTTCATCAGACTTCTCTGTGACAGAAATTACATGCATATTTCTTCTGCACTGAGTTACCATTACAGTTATTAATAAGTGCACAGTTAATCACGCTGTAAATATTTTATACATTTAAAATATAAAGTGTAAAAATTATTGGAAATGCAGGTCTTATGAGATGCAATTGGGTCTCCCTCCCAATTAAGTCATAACCTCTGCGTGAATAATATTTACTTGTAGAAAAGGATAAGTTTCAGGTTTGTTTTTTTTTTTAAAGATTTTATTTATTTGAGAGAGAGCACAAGGGGGAGTGGGGGAGGGGTAAAGGGAGAGGGAGAGGGAGAAACCCAAGCAGATTCCCTGCTGAGTGCAGAGCCCAACACGGGTCTCGATCCCAGGACCCTGGGATCATGATCTGAGCCGAAGGCAGATGCCTAACAAACTGAGCCACCCGGGCATCCCCAGTTTTTTTTTTTTTTTTTTGATAGACATGAGTGCTGAGAACCCTTAGTCTCATAAATAAGTAGATGGAAATAGGTTTATTTTACTTTATTTTTTTAAGGATTTTATTTATTTGAGAGAGAGAGAGAATGAGTGTGAGCATGAGCAGGGGAAGGGGCAGAGGGAGAGGAAAAAGCAGACTCCCCGTGGAGCAGGGAGCCCAACGTGAGACTCGATCCCAGGACCCTGGGATCATGACCTGAGCTGAAGGCAGACGCTTCACCGACTGAGCCACCCAAGCACCCTAGAAGGTTTACTTTATGGTGATGATTATTCCATTCTCTTAAACTCTTTCTGAATTATATGTTAAGTCACATAGTTCTCAGGTTCAAAAATATTTCTGTTCTGTTGGCTGGCAACTTGATTAGGCTTCCTTCAGTTTTGTTGAAAGCAGACTTTGCAATCACCTGACCTGCCAGAGATTTATTACTTACTTATTAGTCATTCACTTTTTTATTACCGATACTGATATTTTAAATTATCCCTCTGGTTTGATATGGGAGGGGAGTTTTTACACAACGGGGCAGTGACCCATAGTCCAGCTCAGGATGGGCGGAAGGCCCGTCTCTTGTTAGGTGGGAGAAGGCTGTTGAGGAAAGGGACGTGGGCACAGAGAATCTGCACTCAAACCCTACTCTCTTTTAGGGAAGAATACTTAGGAACATTGAGGATCAAGAAGTTGATTGCTTTAAAACAGTATGTGTCTATGAGTCCTTGAAAAATCTTTGTGTACCCCAGGGGTATATGTACCCCACTGAAGATCACTGCCCTGCAGTGATGTTCTTCAGACTACAGGTTGTAACCCTCTGATGGGTAAAAAACAATTAAGTGGGTTGTGACCCACAGTTTAAAAAAAAAAAAAGGAATAAAATGGAAAATAACAGCACAATATACTTGGTAAGATTCAGTTGAGTCACATGGACTGTTTTGTGTCAGTGACACACAGAGGTGTACGTATGGAGTTGTGATATGAATGTTTTTTGCTGTGAATTGTGGTCAGAGAAGTTTGAAAGCCAGTATTCCATAAGGTGCAGCGTTCTTCGGCCTCACCGAATGCAGCCAGGACTTGCAAAGGCTTGCTGCCTGCATTACGCGATGGGTTCCGTGTTCCTGTGGCTTGTGGGAGGGCTGTTTCTGTGTTTGATTTGGTTCCTTCATAGGCCGACGCGGAGATGGGAAAGCCGGTGTTTCCTGTCTCGGCACGGTGGCGCTCTGCCGGCTGCCATGGAGGCAGGGATGACTGAGGTACGGTGTTACCTTAAAAAAAGTAGAGTCTTCTGGAGCAGATAATACACTTTGCACAGTATCGTCGTTTGAATATATGTGGAGTGTCATGAGAAAGAAGTTGTGTCCAGTTCTTCAGTGTGTTTATATGACTTTGTCAATTCTCCCTTATAAAACTTATTTATTTCTTTTTCTTTTTAATTTCTTTTTCTTTTTTTCTTTTTTTTAAATTTTATCATGTTAGTCACCATACAATACATCATTAGTTTTTGATGTGGTGATCCACGATCCATTGTTTTCATATAACACCCAGTGCTCCATGCCGTACGTGCCCTCCTTAATACCCATCACCGGGCTAACCCATCCCCCTCACTCCCTCCCCTCTAACACCCTGTTTGTTTCTCGGAGTCCATAGTCTCTCATGGTTCATCTCTCTCTCCGATTTCCCCCCCTTCATTTTTCCCTTCCTTCTCCTAATGTCCTCCAGGCTATTCCTTATGTTCCACAAATAAGTTAAACCATGTGATAATTGACTCCCTCTGCTTGACTTATTTCACTTAGCGTAATCTCCAGTCCCATCCATGTGGATGTAAAAGTTGGGTATTCATCCTTTCTGGTGGCTGAGTAATATTCCATTGTATATATGGACCACATCTTCTTTATCCATTCGTCTGTTGAAGGGCATCTCAGCTCTTTCCACAGTTTGGCTATTGCGGACATTGTTGCTATGAACATTGGGGTCCATATGGCCCTTCTTTTCACTACATCTGTGTCTTTGGGGTAAATACCCAGGAGTGCAATTGCTGGGTCATAGGGTAGCTCTATTTTTAATTTGTTGAGGAAACCCCACACTGTTTTCCAAAGTAGTTGTATCAGCTTGCATTCCCACCAACATTGTAAGAGGGTTCCCCTTTCTCCACAAGCTCTCCAACATTTGTTGTTTCTTTCCCTGTCCATTTTTGGCATTCTAACTGGTGTAAGGTGGTATCTCAGTGTGGTTTTGACTTGAATTTCCCTGATGGCTAATCATGATGAACATTTTTTCATGTGTCTGTTAGCCATTTGTATGTCTTCTTCAGAGAAGTGTCTGTTCATGTCTTCTGCCCATTTTTTGACTTGATTATTTGTTTTTTGGGTGTTGAGTTTGAGAAGTTCTTTATAGACCTTGGATACCAGCCCTTTATCTGTAGTGTCATTTGCAAATATCTTCTCCCATTCTGTGGGTTGCCTCTTTGTTTTGTTGACTGTTTCCTTTGCTGTGCAGAAGCTTTTTATCTTGTTGAAGTCCCAAAAGTTCATTTTTGCTTTTGTTTCACTAGCCTTTGGAGATGTATCTTTTTTTTTTTTTAATTTTTTATTGTTATGTTAATCACCATATATTACATGGAGATGTATCTTGAAAGAAGTTGCTGTGGCCGATGACAAAGAGGATATTGCCTTTGTTTTCCTCTAGGATTTTAATGGATTCCTGTCTCACATTGAGGTCTTTCATCCATTTTGAGTTTATCTGTATGTATGGTGTTAGAGAACGGTCGAGTTTCATTCTTCTGCATGTGGCTGTCCAAATAAAACTTATTTTAACCTTGAATTGATGAGGCACCACTTTCAACTGCGCAGTGGTGTGTCCTTGTCAAGAGGACCTGTGATACCTTTAACGTATATGCACGGCATCATGGCAGTACACCTCTGACGGCCAGTTAGAGCTCACTGCTGGACTGGTGGCGATGTCCTGTTTTCCCCCCTCCACTCACACCAGCAGTCCTTTTTATAGCTTTTTCTTTCAGTCTTGGCTTATTCAGTAAACTCGTTAATCTTGCCCC